TCCGTCAGGTTTCCGTTTGTTTTCTTTGTTTATTTACTTTTTACACTAAAAATACACGTGAATAACTTCCCCTTTTTAATCATCAGGGGTATTTGTCATTTATAAGACTGTTGGTGTATTTCACTCGCGAGTATAAGGGAACGGGTGTCCCATCTCTGGCCTAGAGCCATCCCCGGGAGTGACCGCCCTTGCTTTAAAGATGCTCCTTGAATTCCTGTTTCAGCAAAAAGTAGCGATGAGGAAGTCAGGCTACGATTTACTTTATTTTTGAATTTAACTTTACTTCATAGTTCTGTTCGTGACAAGTGAGACGGTATAAAATGCCGCGTGCTGCTTTGGAGCTGCCTTAGCTGCAGAAGGCCAGGTGCTGGTGGGGAAAGGAGAACCGTGCCCGTTACCGCCTTCTGCTGAAGGAAGTGCTGCTTGGGCTTTGGCTCCGCTGAGGAAATGAGCCTCTTCAGAAGGGCTGTGCTCGCGTGTGTATTTTGTGCAGGCTGGCTGTTTGTAAAGGGGGGCTGTCGTTTGACTGCTCTCTGGTCCACGACTGAAGTTTTGAAAGCCCGTTGCCTAATTCCGAGCAGTTGAATTTGTATCAGGTGATGCCCGAAGGAGCTGATCTTGCAGTCACGAGGCGTCTGGGTTTCCCAGCGAGTTTGTTGGCTGCGAGGCTGAGTCTCAGGATGGTCAGAGTTGGAGTACAAGCCTGTCAGTGCAAGACACTCGGAAATGTGGTATTTTAATGCTTGTTAACATGCTTATTACCTTGTCATGTGCACAGTGCAGAGGGGTCGAAATTGAAAATTTAAGGTGTGCAGTTTAGAAACAGGACTTAAACGTGTGGTTGGCATAAGTCTTTGTTTTCTAACTGTGTGTGTGCTCTTTTTCCAACTGTACTTTTTTTTTTTTTCTTTCCTTCCCCCCCCCTCCCCTGGACGAAATAAAGGCAGACATGCTGAAATACCCAGCAAGCTTGGAGAAGAAGTCCACAGGGAAAATCTATGGTGTCTCAGCAAGGCTGCTTGGCCTTACTAAGGCTCAAGAAGTCCCATGTCCTTGAGTCATCTCATGATTGGGGTATTTGTGCCATTCGGTAGCCCTGGGCAACTGAGTGTGTTAAACTCCCAGGCTGTGCTCTGGCCAAGCTGTGAAAGCCAGTCTGTCTTGGTAACAGGAATATAGGAACCTTTTTTTAAGTGAAATACAGTGAATGAATTTGAAAGAAAAGAAATTGGGAAAGGAAGACTTGTCAGAAAGGTGTTTTGCTGTTGTATATAGTGTGATACGTAAGTAGATTCGGTCTGAAGTTTTTGAGGTTAAATAGGAATGATGAATGGAAACAGTGATCGTAGGTTCTTAGGCCTCTTTATCTAAATTAACATAGAGGAATAGAATATTTCTTTCTGATACTGGCAATATTCTAGAATAAAAATAGGTCCATCTGGGGAGCTATTACTATAGAATAGTTTCCCAGAGCAAACTGGTCAATCCCTGTGTTAGACAAACTGTTAGGAGAACATTTTTGAGGCAGATCTCAAACCATCCTCTACCCAGCATCTATGTATCTCTGATTTTGTGAGTATAAGTCACCCTTTGTAACCCGCATCATGTCCACTCCTTGGCTATCAGCACTGTGTACAACATGACTTGTATTCACAAGTCGTAAGTCCTTGAGCCCTGTTTCTGCACACGTGCTCCCTTGGCAGCCTTATGAACTTGTGTACTTCAAGCGTTGCAGTGTCTGGGTCACAAAATTTGTCTTTGGGGGTGGCTGCACACTTGAGCTCTCCCACTCAGGCCCTTAGGAAGCCATGAGACAGTTACTCCAGCCGTCAAGCTGTGCTTATCATTCTGTGTGCTTCTCTTTCTCAACACAGGCGCTTTGATTTCCGTCCAAAAACTGATCCTTACTGCCAAGCCCGTTACACCTTCTGTCCCACTGGCTCTGCTGTTCCAGTGATGAAAGATGAGGATGTCATTGAAGTGTATCGATTACAGGCTCCAGTATGGGAATTCAAATATGGAGACCTACTAGGACATTTGGTAAGGTGAAATTTTTGTTTAACAAAGTTATAGTGGCAAACTCAGCTGAATTCAACAGCAAGTGTCAAGTATGGGAGCTGTAAGGTTGAGATATGAAAGAGTATTGGAGCACACAAGCTAGGCTATCTATAGGAAAGATACTCAAAGAGCAATAAGTTTCAAACAAAAGTTGTGGAATTTGGCTCAGCTAAAGAGAAGAGCATGACCAGCACTGTCGGTGGGTTTGAAAGGGTTCCTCCATGGAGCTGCACATTGGGAGTGTTTCGTATACACATACCAGTAAGTTTTGGGTGTCTTTTTTTTTTTTTCCTACACTAGCAGTGTATCAAGAAAATACATGTATTTGTCCCCTAATGACAGATGAAATGCTTGCTTAGTGTATTAGCTCTTCTGTTGTTAAAAACTTACATGTTTGCATGAACGTGGATATCTGTCGGGAGTGGACAGCTAAGCTGGTCAGAATGCTGGATCATGGAGAGTTGGTTGCTTTTATGGCTCTTTCTTGAATGTTATGATCAGTATTGAGTTAAAGCCTCCATTTGTGGAGTCATGCAAATTTGAAAGAATCTCAACTTTCATGATATTTATAGCTATAGCAGTAGCATAACTAAGCTTCAAAGCATGATCCCTAACAAATGAAGAAATACTGATGAACATGAAGTAGCAACATCAAAACCAAGCATACAGAGTCAAAAATGGAAGTAGCTTCAAATATCATTATCTCAGTTGTTAAACTAAGATTGAATTTATGTGTTTACAGCTTTTAAAATAAATATTTATCTCATTCATTTTTGTGGCTTTCAATACTAAAACCTGGTTTTGGTAACTCAGTTCTGCTCTTTATTTCTTTGATACCCCTGTGAGGTTAAGGATTTAGAAGTAAGCTTGAATTTTGATGATGAGCTCCTGAGCTCCAGCTGAGTATCTTGCCTCCAAATAACAGAATATAGAACAGATGGATAGACAAGCACTGAGACAATGTGACTCTGATAAGGGTGTGATACAACCCAGTATGTTGTGCATTGATGCTACTGAATCCAAGATGTTGAATCCCAATTCTCACCCTGTTACACAACAGCTCCCAAGTATCTTATCTTCTGTACAAGTTAAGCTGAAGTTGTTTTTATGTTAAAAGTTTTGGTGTTTGGGTTTGTGGTTTTTTTTTTTCTATTCCAGAAAATTATGCATGATGCTGTGGGTTTCAAGAGCTCTCTAACAGGCAAAAACTACACAATGGAGTGGTATGAGCTCTTCCAGCTTGGGAACTGCACATTTCCACATCTCCGGCCTGGCATGGACGCGCCATTCTGGTGTAACCAGGGAGCTGCCTGCTTTTATGAAGGAATAGATGATGCACACTGGAAGGAAAATGGAACTTTAGTTCTCGTGACCACAATATCAGGTAGATTTGAGATGCTTTGGATAATGCCACTATCATAAAACAGAGAGACAGCCTTATCTTATGTAAGGCAATGTGTTTTAATTTATGTCTTGTAGGTTATTTGCAATGTTAGTCACTGATGCTAATTTCAAACTGAAATACTATCTCTGCACTTTCTTTAATACAGAAAGCAGTATGAGGCTGCTGCCTCTTGAACAATACACACTGAAGAGCTGTTAAATGAGAGTCATTTGGTGTCGCTGTACAAAAACACTTGGGTCTCTTGAGTGTAAAAATAGCAAAACATCTTATACAGAACCATTATGGACTCTTTTCACATGACTTCACCAAAACAAAGCCTTCTGTTGTGAAGTGGCAGATGACTGCTGAGATACAAAAACTGGTGAAAATGTGTACATTACTGAGCAAACAAATAAGGCATATTTAGAAATAGTCTCAAAAATACAAAAAATATTAATCTTTCTTTTCCTCTCTCTCATTATGTGTCATTAAAACTGCAAATGTCCCCAGTAACAGACCTCTGTTATATATCAGAGAACAAAACCAGGATTTACACCTCTTAATACAAGGATGATCACCAGAATAGCTTCCTGGTATATACTGAGCACTGAAATCCTAAAATAAAAAGGTCATTGACGTAAATCTGGTTGATTACTGTAGTAATACAGTGAATGACTTATGAACAAAGTCTCCTGAGGACTTGGAGAGTTGCATTTTGTGTGACCGAAACCACGCACTCTTCGAAGTTAGTGCTGTGTACAAGGCACAGTGAGAGTCAGATTACAGCTAGTGTGATGTGGTGCTTCATATTTGCCCGCTTCCACCTTCAGCAGCTTTGCTGGACTCGGTCTCTAGATAATCTGTCCAGTGCTGCTGAGAAACTCTAGGCTGTTCTTCAAGCGATGAAAGAAGCAGAGCTGCTTTCCTGCGAGTTTGTAGCTCATGGCTGAAGTCTTTGATGCCTGATGCGGTTGGATACTTTTGTATGAATACCAAGTTAAGTATTTTCATACAGTTGTGGAACTTGTAATGCTTCCTACCTGTGTGGATTATTTGATGCCTAAGAAAGGTGAGGTTAGGCTGGTCCCTTGTAGAGGCATTGTTACGATCCTCCTGTCTCTCACGCTTCCCGTTTCCATGAAACTTTTAGGAAGGTGGCATCTCTGAGAATTTTGACTTGTCTGAATTTGACTAGGAAGCTGAAAGTGACCGTGGAAGAGGCCGAACGGATGCAAGCACAGATGGACAGCGTCATGAGCTGAGCTTGCTTCCTTCAGAGAGCAGGCAAACAGCATCCCATCTTGTGGGAGAGAACTTGAACGTATGAAACAGCCGGACACCTTGTGCCCTCGCGAGATCCTGTGAGCTGTTTGTCAGCAGTGTCACAGACCACATTGAAGCAATCTCATTTTCTTTTAAAGCCCATTGACCAGGTTAATGGTACTTAGGGGTATGTTTCTTTTGAGGAAATAATGCAGAAATACCTGAAGTATGATTTTTTTTTTTTTTTTTACTGTCTAGGCATCTTCCAACAGATTACCACGGAGCCATGCATTAATCTGTAATATTTTTGTTTAATTTATGACGTTAAGGCCATAACTTCATATTAAGTCCATCTTGGTATTGTTAGGATCCTGAGACAAATCCTTTTCAATAACATGCCTTGCAGAATGCACACAAGGAAACTAATCTTGTAGGAATTAGAGAAGATAAAGGGGAGCTGCAAACTCATCTACAGTGTAGGATAAGTATAGTTCTTGGTGTAGATATAATGACTTGCTGTTTTGTTAAACCGAGTCGTAGGCAATTAAAAAAGAAAGTATCCGACACTTTCACTGAACAGTATGATTGTTAGTATTTACTGTGAAGCTCAAAAGCTCTTAAGCGTGGAGTGAAGAAGAGTTAAATGGGGTAGCCTAGGAGGTGAACGTGCAAAGCTCTAGTTACTCTGAGGTAGCAGCTTGCACACATGCGTTACTGTGGGGTGTGAGATGTGTTTACTCTCTGGTGAAGAGTAGACTCAGCAATGTGACCTCTGCAGCTTGTTCTGGAGGGAGGTGTGTGGCACGCGATGCTCTTCATTACCTCGATGAATGCAACATTGCAGTGAATTCAGACTTAACGCAAGAGGCTGGTTGTGGTGTGCAGGGTGGCATTAGTGACACCTGCCTGATGTCTGCCACCCTTGAACTGCGAGGTAACTGCTGCCGGTCTCTTGGCTTTGCAACAGTCTTGCCTGTCCTTCAGCAGCTACCAAGCACAGTTACTGCACCCGCAGCAGTGACGCTTGCAGCTGAAGAGAGATCGTGGCTGGGAACACTGTCACGATTGCAAGCTGTCTTCTGACTTATTGCACAAGAAGAATCTGCAAAATTTGGCCGTGCTATGAACGTGAGGTGCTAGACAGATCTGAGTCATACATTGTTGTACTCTGTGCTGTGACTGAGGAAAGAGAGGATGAGAAGGGCTAGGACTACGGGGGGAAAAAAAAAAAAAAGATTAGCCATGTGCTTCAGCTCTGTTTTGAGGAGCTACACGTAAGGAGCTATCAGAGATGAGTTGAGTTAGAGATGTCTTCCTTATTCCATTTGTGAAGTCACCAAAACACTCCAAATGTATTCTCCCTAAAAAAATAATCCACAAGGTCTTTAAATTTACCAGTCTCAACATCCCACTTGTGTCATTTGGCTTAGCTCAACTTTACCGGCTGAGGAGCTGCTAAACCAGCGAGATGCCTCAGTCTAAGGCTCCCTGGGCTTCTATGGAGGGACATGAAAACTTCTGCCCTGAATTGCTGAATTTCGTTTAAACTTGAGGAAGTGCAGAAGCGGCTGTTGCAGTGGGGAGCGCTTTGTCAGCGTCTCTTGTAGATGGCACTACCTGCCGTGTTTGTCTACGTGAATAAAACAAAATGAGAAGTGTCGTGGCTCTCTGATATTTGGATGTTCTGGCATAGTAGCAGGAAGTGGGGCTGAATAAGGAATTACAGTTTAAATAATTTACCCTGAATAAACTATAGTTACATGTGTCACTTCTCCCTCCAGCCAAAGCCTTGTACCTGTGTGTAGCTAGGTCATGCTGTAGGTAAACTTTTGCAGGGAAGGGAGGCGAACCTTGACATAGGTGGAAAACACGTTGAGTTGTATGTGTTGCCCTGTCTCTGTAATGCTTATTTTCATCTCTTACAGGAACCATGTTTAATGAAATGGCAAAATGGGTAAAATACGACAATGAGACTGGCATTTACTATGAGACCTGGACAGTCCAAGCAAGTCCTGACAAACAATCAACAGTGTGGTTTGACTCTTACGAGTGTTCCAAATTTATCCTGAGAACGTACCAGAAGCTAGCTGACTTAGGAGCGGTATTTAAGAAGATACAAACAAACTATACCAGCATAATTTTATTCAGTGGAGAACCTGTTTATTTGGGAAATGAAACATCTATTTTTGGACCTCTAGGAAACAAGACGTTGGCAGCCGCTATAAGAGACTTCTACTCTCCATTCAGACCTCATCGGACAGTCGGAGAGTTTTTTGTTGATCTTTTAAAAATAATTGATCGCGTCATCTTGAATCGTCAGTTTTACCTCTTCTATAACTTGGAATACTGGTTTTTACCTATGAAGTTCCCGTATCTCAAAATAATTTATGAAGAGGTCCCTTTACCTATTGGAAGCAAATCATCCTTTGGTGTATAGTCGCTTACAGAAGAACTGAACTTGCTCTTGTGCCAGAATATCCTTAAGGATTTTGGAGCGCTACTGTGATGGTCTTGAAGCATTGATCCTGTAGCGGTTTCACTGCTGACTGTAAAAGTTGTATTGGGAAGGCTTTGCTAGACCATGTGGAAGACTATGCCTTTTCTTCCTATTACCTGCATAATACATTCGTGAACGCTTCAGCATCTCTAACTTGGCCACCTTCTGTGTGACCATGGACACCTGCTGCTTGAAGGTAGGCTGATGTGGCTCCTCTTGGCTGAAGCCTGCAGTGCCAGTGGGTGAATGGGAGGCAGCCTGCCTGCTCTGGGCTCAGGCTCTCTTCACGTACATGGCCATGTGGCGACAGATAGCACCTGGCCACCGGCAGAGATGGGACTCAAGCATTACAAAGACCTTCTGGTCTGACCAACTCGGCTAATCTGTGTGTTGGAGAGGAACTAACAAACCTAAGTGCCTAGATGTGTCCAATTCCCTCAACATGTGCCTTACATCGGTGTTTCTGTATTTTGTTTGGTTTGTACAACTGGGACCTAGGAACTGTTCTCTGGTTCATTAATGGGTGTTCAGAAGGGTGGGAAGGGGCAGTGAATCTATTAGAAGATGGCATGGGTGGTGTCTTGTCACCACTTTGCTTCCTTCACCTGCACTGTAAACACAATACAGCTGGCTCTTCCTAAGGTTTGTGTGTGAGTTTTTTACCACAGATGATAGAAGGCAAACAGCATGTTTTGATGTCAACTTTGATGCATAACTGCAGCGTTCTAGCAGTCTCCTGTCTTAAAGTCTAGTTGAGGCTTCACTTAGGTCAGTTTCGTAGAAGTCATCTTTATATTCTTTCTACATTTCTTTAAAAAGCATGGAGTCCTTAACGTGCAAGAAGCAATGACAGTTCGTGGGATGTCAAAGTCACAGTTAAAAATCCACGCTTATCATAGATCTGCCTGTAAAAAGCATTTGCAGCTCCTTACTGGCAGCGATGGTTACAGTGGTGGCGCTGTGCCAGCTGCTGTGGCCTCAAGTCCTGTTCCAGGCCACGCCTAGAGCAGCTTGGCAACTAGTTCCCTTTAAACCCAACTGGCCAAAGCCAAGGGAACACCGGCTTTCTGGAGAGCAGTGAGATGCCTATGCACAAAAAAATACACCAGCAGCAGCATAATCATCTCCAAGAGTACACTGCTCGCTTTGGTTATTTTAGACCATTTGCAGAAAGAGTAGCACTTGTGCAGAGGTTATTACTAAAGGGGGGCTTTTGACAACAGCATGTAGCGATAGGACAAGGGGCAATGGCTTTAAACTGAAAGAGGGGGATTTAGATTGGATATAAGGAAGAAATGTTTTACGAAGAGGGTGGTCAAACACTGGAACAGGTTGCCCAGAGAAGTTGTGGGTGCCCCATCCCTGGAAGTGTTCAAGGCCAGGTTAGATGAGGCTTTAAGCCACTTGGTGCAGTGGAAGGTGTCCCTGCCCATGGCAGGGGGGTTGGAACTAGGTGATCTTTGAGGTCCCTTCCAACCCTAACCAGTCTATGATGATTCTATGACTCTATGTCATGGCAAAGTAGGTAGTAACACAGGATCCCAACTCTGCGGTTTCATTGGACTTGAGCCAAGTTAATAGCCTGCTGCAGCCGAAGAGGGGAGTACACAGTGTGACTACACAGGAAATTGATTCAAATAGTAAGAATGGCAGAAAATTAACCTTGTATTAAAAAGTCAATAAAATTAATTACTTGTATTGTGTCATCATGTAATGGGATGAGCATGAGAGCTAGTGTGAGAGGAATGAGGTGATGAGAGCACCTCTGTTCTGCAGGGGAAAGCTGCTAATTAATTCCAGTCTTATGGGAAACTTCATCTTCTACCTCAGCTTGAAAGACTTTACTCTCTGCAGCCAAAGTCACAAGTCCTTGCTTTAACCAGCTGAGCTTCAGATTCTTTGGATTACCCACCAAGAACATAATCTAGGAGGCACTAGGGAAGATAAAGGAGTGCAGCAAGCCTGTCTACAGAAGGTACGTTCACATTAATGCATGTTTTTATGACTTTGAAACCCTCAACATTGTTTAACCAACATTTATCTTCTTAGGAGAAAGCCTCAACCTCAAAACCAAAGTGTCCAAAGCTCTAAAGGAGAAATAGGGTCATGGAACCAAGTAGCAGAAGCCCCAAAAGCTGCTTCTCTAGCATTTGCTAAAAGGTTTGTAGCATTGGTGCAGCTAGAGAGACCTCTCAGAGCCTGAGGCAGATGCCATGGTGGGGTATGTCATGCTCCCTGGTCCTAGAGTAGAGGTCTCTGCTCAACCTGACAGTGCTGTTTGTTCGCTGTACGGTACTTACTTGGCTTTATATGGGACCGAGGGAGCCTACGCAACAAAGTCATTCTTTTCTCTTAATAGTTGAAGTATTTGGTGATGCATGGAAGAGCCTTATAGAACTGTAAACACCAAATCCTGACATACAAAGGTAACGGCAGCCGAATGCCACACATCAAAGCTGCCTTGTGCGTACGTATTATCAGCGTAGGAGTTGCCCCTTTTTTTAACAGGCATGAATTCCTCTGGGCATAAGTCTTGGAGAGACAGCCCCTCACTTTCTTTGCTTGTCTCAATTTGGGAGGTTTTGTTCAGAACCTTAAAAGCCAACTGTTTAGACTGAATGCACAGCCAGGTGGAAATAAACTCCACCACTGCAAAGTGCAGTTCTGGAAGAGGTGCAGTGGTTGAAGTTGACTAATTATTGCCCTGAAAATAGCTTCACCAGCATTTAGACTGAAGTTAGCAAGTGCAGTGCTTTCTTGTAGGCAGAATCCTGGAGTTAGGCCTATAGTTAGATCCAAAATAACACTGAGATGATGTGTAGGCTACTTCTGTGAAGTTTAGACATGAAGTTTAGACAATAGAACCATAAAGATTACACTTTTGTCACTGAAGAAGGGTTTGCGACATCTAACAGCTTCTGTACACCTGACGAGCTGTAGTTTGTGGCTGAAAGCCACCTGTTTAGCTCAGACATTTGAGGTGGACACCTTCCTGTTGAAAGTCACACAGGGGAGCAGGCAATAATAAGATCACACCTAACATTTCGCTCACAACCAGCTGCTATTAGCGCTTGCCTGGTGGTAGGAACCAGAGCTGTCCTAACTGCCAGGCTCAAGGATAAGGTTCTTCTTATCTCCAGTGGATGTGTCATTGAGCCGTTACTCGTGCATTCCATATAGGAGTTATCGGTCACTTCCGACTGTGCTTGGTTCCACTCCCTGCTTTTGGGCACGTTACAGTTAAGGGTAAAGATGGTTCTGTCATACAGAAGCTTCCAAGTCTGCATGGTGGTCTTGTGCAAAGCTGCTTAATTTCCCTATAGGGCTGAGCTGCTCAGGGCCGTAACCCACACTTAGCTCAAATGGGACAGCTCCTGGCTTGTCATACACCAAGGCCAAGTAAGAGTGTGCGGCTCCTGTTCCCCAAAGGACCGTGCCATGAAAACAGCTGGTACAAATGCTGTCTGCCTTCCCACTCATGGCTGCTCTGGGTTAGGAGAGCTGCCGCCTTCGGTGTCCTGAGGATGGTGTCAGTGATGTTGAGGTTCTTCTGAAGTCGCCACAACTAGGGAATAACTTGAAAACGAGCAGGCTTCTGCTCTTCCACTTACAATGGAGTCTGTAAGTCTAAAGCATAAAAAACCCCCACCATCGGCTGCTGGTGGCAGATTAGCAAAATCAGATAGTGAAAATAGACCTTACCAGCCATCATATTTTCAGTCTAGGGAAAACTGGTAGAATTAAAAGAATCATCTCCTATGTCATGTCACACCTAAGGTTTAGTATTAACAGTAGACTCAGTCACTGGGGTTCCGTCATTTAAAAACTATTCTTATGAATGAGACTCCTGCAAGGAATTTTCCACCTGATACCAGGCCATCTGAAGTAGTATTACCAAAAAGGCTATTTAGCAGGGAGCACCACCTCCTGAAACAATTTAACTCGGAGGGTTCATATCACTGTTAAGAGGCAAGATCCCGTGAAGGCCTCGATGCTGCAGGCCACGCGGGAAGGGAGGGTTGTAAAGCCTGCCTCTTTCCCGCTGCCTTGCGGCTGTTAGAGTGCAAAGAATAGCTTTTGGGTGCCTGAGCCTGCGAGGGAAGAAAGGAGCCAGCCATCAGGGAGGTCTACAAGACTTCCAGCCCAGATCCTCTGTTACCATCGGAGATTTCAGCTACAGAGTTAGGCAATCAATACTTTTCCTTCTTTCCCCCTACCTACCCCTCTGCTCCCCAAACACTCAAGCCTTTGGTTGGGGGACAGTTCGGGGGTGGCACTTTATCTCTTAAATCTCGCTCCTTGGGGATAAAGCAGCAAGAGTGGTATGATGTTACGTCCACCAAAGTCCTTTCCTTACTAATGTTTAAGTCGGGTTTTGAGATCCAGGCTGCCCGATTACCAGGTCGCTGACTTCAATCCAGATTGCACAGATCTTTATCTTATATCCATACAGGACTGTACATCAGATAAAGTACAATATAAGGAATCACAAGAGTCTTTCTCCTTACTCATATAAGAAACCATGACAGCTGATCTTTGTGCTAAAATGGGAAACTACGAGTTTTCTGTCATGCTGCAAGACTGGAAGGAAGAGGTATTTTCCTCCAAAAGGTCCAAAGCTGCCCCAGTTCCTCAGCATTTTGCAGGGAAATGCCCTCTTACAAAAGCACAGGTGGAAGACAGAGCAGAAAGCACACCTCAGGCTCTGCTCCAAAGCATGTGAACTACAACAGCCAGCAGCGGATGTGATCCTACAAGAAAAACCTAACAGAAAGGATGAACATACAGAACATCTAAGGTGAACTGTGGTTTCACTGTCCTGGTTTTGATACTATTAAACTTCAATCGTATCTCTGAGAAACTTGTTTCTACGGCACCTGTATTTTAGGAAAATTAATCTACAGTTTGTAGCCTGAACTACAGACACTGAAGTTCTGAGTCACTTGAAGATTTCACTAGTTTCCTCATTTAATGAATGCTGCTGGTTTAGGTATAGCAGCAGGACGCACTTGTACCGTTCCATGTGCAACCAACTAGACCAGCCAAAGATCAAGACAGATCTCTCTGGAGTACTGTAACAAAGTTTAGGTTTTAGTCAGGCCTACTCCAAACGTAGACGCCCAGATGAACCCTGCTTTAAATTCACAGGAAATTAACTGGGTGCACATCAAACAATTGGAATAGATACAGTGAAATTAGTGAGTTTCTGACTCAAAATCCCTCCAAAACCCCACTTAATTTCACAAGTTTGTAGCTTCAGGTAAATCACAGGAAACTACAGAGTTATGTAAACAGCTGCTCTTAAATTACTCACCTTTTCACTTTTGATACAACTTCTCACTGTAAACTGTCATAGCTGGTCAGGATTACCCCAGCAGTTTGGCATCAACAGCTTTCAAGAATAATTTTTATATCCAAAAATCTGAAGTGATGCAGCACTTGTGTTCAAGGGCAAGATCTGCCACTGCACATGTTAACAACTCCTACCCAAAGCTGGACAACCAAGCCAACACTGGGTTATCTTCTGAAAAAAACCCCAAGAAATAAAGGTGAACCCACAGAAAATGATTTTATACAGCTAGAAGATACCCGTATTCATGCTTCTAGTGAACTTCAAGGACAGTCCGTGGTACTTGTTACTACACGTCATGGATTACTTTTTTATTATTATCAATTTTTCCCAACGCGTGTAAAGGCGAAATAAGAATTGGACAAGATTTGCTAAAAAGGAGCATTGTAGCTTTTCCTGAAGATACTTAGAACGTAGGTTTGCCTGGGAGGTTTGTTTTATAGCTGATTATTTGAGATAAGGATGCTTAATTGGTCTGATGTATAAAAACCACCAGCGGAAGAGAGAGACAATCGCTTTCAAGTGGTTTTCTTATCCTTGAGCATTTTGATTTATGAAACTTCGGATACTGTGTCACATCTATGAAGGACTCTTTGAAGTCTGTAAGAGAGAGGCCTTCTCAGAAGAGGCCGGCCAGTCACCTGGCTAGGGAAAGCAGTTCCACTACAACTAAGCATAAAGCCTTCAACTGCTAACATGTTCCCCACCTCAGGATTCGACGGAGTTCTCTGAGTAGCAGAACGCTGGGCTTCGAAGACATGAATTCCAGAAGGAAGGGAACTCAGGTATTTAGTCCGTGTCTTGCCTTTCAGTTATCGCCACTATTGCAGCACTGAGCAACGGACCAACTGATCTTGCCAACATCAGGACGCAGCAGTCAAGGTCCAAAGAAGTCTGAGCTGCGTTACTAATGAGATTACTTCACACATTCATTTAGTGGAAACGTGCCCTTTTCCCCACATTAGTAGTGTTACTCCAACTTTGTCACGCAGGCAATTCTGAGTCAGAATATAAAAAACACTGAGCTTTTTTTACTTTTACGGACTAAATATATTGACACCTTTTATACAAATAAAAGCGAATTATAGTTATTACATTATTTTAACAAATTCTAATACAAAAAAACGCATATTTCATAAAATGTGATTTTTAAATCAAAGCTCTACAGGAACATACAACTCCTCTATAAAGATGTCCAGTCCGCTGAGCAATGTTTGCTCAAAATATCGTTATGAACTTAAATATGCTCATAAGTGTATTACACTTGAACTATACATTTGGATAAACGTGACTGAAATCAGAAATAAAGAAAACCTACTTATTACCAGAGCTAGCTGCACAGCTCAGATCAGAAGAAGCCACCAGCCAAGTCCAGTACAGCCCATGGCTGGAGCAGCTTCGCCTTGCTGGTGGCTGACTGCACCTTTCAGACACATTCAGCAGTCACATGAATACTTTAGTGTTACCAATCAAAAACGTGAAAGAGAACGTAACGTAACTGTTGGCGGTAAGAAATGAAGTCACAAGCCACATCCAGATCACAGGCAATACGTTGCCTACACCACTTACAGACTAAAAACTTTCTTTAATAAAACTGATTTACCAAATATTCAAAACAAGTTTTTGCCTATTGCTCTACTTCACGCAAGTTTACGGCTTTTATGTTTTTAAATATTATGAAATGATCTAACTAGCTGAATTAAAAGGTATACAAAATGATCATCTATCAAACATTCACTTTATACATAAACATTTCTGAAACAGATTTACAGTATACAATTAGTTTATACAGCTTAAGCAACTCTTACAATGTCATTTCTCTCAAAATGAAAGCAACCAAAAGGTCTAAGATTTCGTTATAAGGTTCTTGGTCACCATTCAAATTTTAACTTTCTTGTTTGACACCGTTCATATCCGGGTCACCACATTTAACACTGCAGGGTTCGTTTAAGAAACTACACGTCATTCCATCTAACCGTATGCTGCCAAACCAGTTAACGTGCAAGAAAAGCTCATTAACTCCAACAGGTTTTTAAATACAATGTATCTACATTTTTCCCCAGAATGCTTTCGCTTCCTGAGCTAGACATAAAATACCTTAAAACAGGTTTAGACACAGATCTGAGACCCCGTAAGCAAACTACATTAGAATGCATAGAAGGGAAAAAAACCCACTCCACTTTTGGTAGCTCACACTACTATTTGTTTGCACTCTAAATATGTTTTAGGCGGATCTAATAATCCGTTGAATAAGGTAGCAAACTTAGTATTTCAATTGTCTAAACTATGTTATTGTGTATTGCTCTTGCCTTTTATGACTTTTATATAAAAGAACATGCATATTTCACAGCCTACTAAATACTCTTTACAATATCCATCCGGTCACATGGATGACTGGATTTACAAAAGTTATTGTCTGCAACAGAAGCATGTGATTTCAGTGTTTTGTTTTTTTTTTTTTTAAATCAAAACTGATCGTGTTTTCTATCTAAATCAAAGGAGGATAGCAGATTAAAACTGGTATTTTGCAGATACATTTCAAGGTTTTAATTGCATTTTTAATTTCCATAAAAGCTTGAGGTCACTGTCAATGAAAAAGAAAAAATCTAAACCAGAAACTAGATTTTTTTTGTTTAGATGAAAATGGGGTTTGGAGCTATCCATGATTTCTGTTTTTCAATCTGGATTTCATAAATAATTTTTAAATGAAAAATTAATTTTCTAATCAAACAATTAACTAACTTACAGTAAAAACTATAGTATTAAAGAAGCTTATACAGTAAGTTGCAGTATGGTAAGCTTGGGTTTAAGGTGCTATTCCATCCACCCTGAAGTCTTTTATGGACTTTACCATGTGGGCATCATGTCCGGGAACCAGACTCTACCGAGATGCTTTGAAACTTCCCAATGAATCTGCTCTAAGCTGTATTTCTGATCAGGAATCAAAACTTCCTCCATAATAGAAAGCTGAGAGAGACGACCGCCACACATCTTCACGAACTCAACAAAGGCACTGCAAGAGACTTCACATTCTCCTAGGCCAACGGCTGACAGATACTTGCAACGTTCTGCAATACGGATCAGCTCCTCATCCAGCGGCCGCAAGCCATTGGCGCACACCACCAGTTCAACTAGCCGAGGACACGTCATCCCAACGCGACCAAGTACGTCTTTGCTTACGGATCTTCCAAAGTAAAGGTGAGTGACAGGTATTTCGTAACGAAAGAACGGGTCAAACTCTTCTTCGTACAAGAAAAAGTACATGACTAAATTTACTTTAGGAGAATGTTTGATGAAAGCGTCCCAGCTGCTCTTCTGAATGGTGTGGAACTGAGTCTGCCCAGGGTTTTCGCTGACAACATCAATGCGCAAGTGTTCTAGCCTGACATGTTTTTCAGAAGACAAAGCAAGCAGAAGCTCATCGCTCAGCAGGTGGTAGTTCAACGCCAGTTCACGTAAACCGTGACACTGGTCGGCCACGCAAAGGATACCTGGGAAAAGAGAACGTTATGGAAGGGGTTACACAGATAAACACACTGATAACTGAAGAAGAAACTTATGTCAAGAGGGTGCGAAGACCATGTATTTCAACATGCCATCAAGACAGAACCATCAAACCAAAATTGTACCGGACAATCAGAAGGTGAATCTTTTTCAAATAAGGCATGTCTTTGTACCTACGCGGTAAGATACACATCTGTTGTGCAAATGCATTGCTGTTTTGCCGGGGAAACATCAGGAAGGTACCACGTTGCATTGTATGCTTTCCTGCGCGAGTTGATTCTCATGTGACAAACATATAAAAAGCACACTCTGACTGTTCTGCCCTCTCAAATTCATTTTTGGAAAAGGGGCTTACTCATAATAAAGAGTATTTCCCTGGCCTGCTCTGCAAGAAGTGCTGTCCCCCTCTGTGGCTGACAAAGCAGCCATGAATAAAATCTGTCACCTGAGGAAAGCAAACATAAAACAAATGCTAGATTTTAATTAAACAGAGAAGTTGCTGCTGTCAGTATTTGTTCTTTCTAGGAAAGTATAAATATTTAAATTTGGAAAAGCAACAGCAAAAAGAGGGAAAACACAAACTTGAGAGCTGTAATTCCTAGAACAGTGATTTTCAGACTCTGCCTTATATTGATTCATTAAACCTGCCGCTCATGGAAGACAAAGACATTAACAAGAAGAATTCAATACAGTCTATAAGGTTTCCACTCATCCTATTTGCAGATAGATAGATCTTGCTCCATCCCTGGAGACATTCAAGGCCAGGTTGGACGAGGCCCTGAGCAACCTGATCTAGTTGGAGATATCCCTGTTCCTTGCAGGGGGGTTGGACTAGATGACCTTTGAAGGTCCCTTCCAGCCCTAACCATTCTATGATTCTATGACACAAGCAGTGGTACCACACTGGTAACAGTACTGAAAAAAAAAAGGCACTAAAAAAGAGCATACAGTCCTCTGCATTTCATGTGACCCAGAAAACTGCGTGAAATTCAGGATATGGTCTTTCCATTAATAGATGAGATGAGAACATAGCATTTACTATGGAATTGAAAACCCTGAGCTCAATACACTACAGCTTTGAAGCAACTGGAAGAAATACTGCAAGACAGCAGTTATTTTAAGATGCACTTTTTAAACCCAAAAGGGAAGTGTATGCTGAGCCTAAAATCACTTTCTTAAAAAAGATTATTGTAAAAATATTGCACGAATGTATACACCAAAACAGTATACATCTTCCACCTGAGTATCCACAGGAACACATACGTCAGAAGTTCTTCCAACTATATCAAATACTGTCATTTCCAATATAAAAAGTTTGGTAGATAAATAAAAAAAAAAAGTAGCATTCAGGTAAACAGAATTTTAACCCAACACTTATTGCAACTATTTCCTGTAAAAGCAGTTTATATATGTAAGCATATTCATTATTTCATTCGAGGAGGAGGGGATGGGATCCAAGATGAAGTGAAAACACAGATTTTTATATTTTTTTTAAAGATCGGAGTACAAAATTAGAACAACTAAATACAACTACAAACTTCTGTGTATCTTCTACACATTCCAGAGATCCTTTCCTGTCCTTAAATCATAACGAAGTTACTCTTACAGCAATACTCCGGCAACAGCTACTATGTCCACTCCCTTTAAGAAGACTCAGGCATGAGCTCCACAATACTGAGGTCTGTTGACACATGAAATATTTTAAACAGTTTCAAGATTCATATACATTGTCTCATCATTACACAGTTTCAGAAAACAACTCGCTACAAATTTAGCATCCAAACCAGCCTGTTTGATCCACACTGCCATCCTTCCACCAACAGTATTTATTAAGTTACTGACTAGTTCAATGCAAAAAGGGAAGAACTGGGGTTCAATTTGCTGCGATCTTTTATGGGTCTAGGACTGGAAGGCCACATCACATGCTGGCAATGAAATTACATACCCTCCATATAGAACTGACAGCAACTGGAGGGCCTGCCTGGAGCCCATGCTGCAAGTGGCACGTTACAGAACGTGCAGGCACTGCATAAACATTCGTGTCACCAAGAGGTGAATCGGTCTGATACCATACAGCATGGGTTTGTGTCAAAAAAAATCCCTCTACTGAGCTGCTGATGCAGACACAGCCTACATCCACTCTTCTCTCCCTACCCCCATCCAAAGAGAAGCGACCTTCCTACCCGCAAAGCAGAGCAGAAACAGCCTTTACAGAACTGCTTTCTGTTTCCTCCGTTCCCATAGCTAATATTTCAGATAATGAACAACAGCACATCAATCCAGATTTAAAAATAACCATTAGTTTGTTTTACAAGGTACTGTTGCAGTTCTAATGCAAGTTGAAGTTCAGAGGGGAAAGAAACAGCAAGCAGAAGAAACTTCAGATATGCTCGCAAAGATTAGAAATACACCGCTGTCTTTGTTTCTCCAGCCCAAACCTCTTTATCTTTGTGCAGTAATTTAGGGATTATTCAGAGCAACCTTTGAAGCCATTCGAAGTTGATATCAATCTTTTCCCTTTATTCCTGCAGTAGTGGAGTCTCTCTTGCACTACGTGCATTATTCTTCTCTGCCTTTCACTAACAAATTTCTTGAGAGCTAATCTAGTAACGGAAATTTGCCCCTCTCCCCTGGCAATTGGGAGGCATGTTATACCATTTTAAGTGCATCTATAAGTAATTAGTTTTGCATAACTCATGGCCCCTTTGTTAAAAGCTTTACAAAGCCTGCTAATTATAATATTCCCATTAGAAAAAAAAAAATCCAGTAAGTCTCAGTGCTCAAAGTATCTCATTTTCTGTCATTTTTGCAGCCTGCGTGCTCTGAAGTCAGCTATGCACATACCAGCTCCTTTCTTTTGTTCCATTTTTTTCTCCATCTCAAGGCACACCCATACCTGAATTGAGCAATCAAATTCTCCTGCCGTTTGCTTAGCACTCTGTGGTTTTGTCACTAATGCATGTGATCCCATTCTATTCACCTCCACTCCATGAAGGACAACAGTAGTTGTGCTCCTCCTTCCTTAAACAGGCGTTGCCGTTGCTTACCCATTGTTCCTTTAAGTTAAAGAATTGTACAAGATACATCAAACAGAATACACCAGTCAAACAACTCCGTAAACCCGTGCCCCTCTCCCAAATTATCAAGTGTATGATGTTGCATAAAACCTTCCAGCAAGGATTAGCCACAAGCCAGCACAGCCTGCCAGAGCTGACAGGTTGCTCTTGGACCCAAGTCCAAGGAAATTACTCTCTTTGCTCAGCTACAAATTGCTGCTGGGAGCCTGTTCCTCCTGAAAGACTCATTATGGCTCCTGGAATTCTCAGACACAATGATTCTCAGACAAAATTTTACATCAGAAAAAAAAAAAAACAGTCACTCAAGCTAAATTAAACAAGCCCCCATCTACAACTACAAAGCTTTGTAGGAAATAACATTCCAGTTAACACACTGGTGAACGCTTTGCTGGACAAATCTGCTCCAAAACAAACCCACGTTTTCAGGACTTCTTTATACAAAACCAAACACGAGGTTTTGTCTGAGAGCTACACCTGCAAGAGGTATGAAGTTTGTGCTTTGTTATCACTGCGGCAACACGCCCTCTGCTACAGTATCGTTTTCCCCACATACTAGGAGTGCTGCTGGTGAATTTTACACATAATATACCTAATATTTACGGTTGCAATATATTTGCATGAAGAAAGCTATGGTGACTACAGCAGTTTCTCCTTACCCTCAGAACGTAACTGATTTATAATTCCTCTTCCCTTGCTTAGTGAAAAACTGTTAAGTTGATGGGCTGTGAATCAATCCTGAACTTGCTGTGCATTTCATAAATCTTCCACAAGCATTAAATTCTAAGAACTTCAACAATCTTGAGCGATTTCATTCTGATAAAAGCTGGCTTCACTCTTGCTGCAAACACAGAGTGTTAATGAAGCACTCGGTAATCGCAGAAGTTCTGCACAGCTCAGTCTCATCTCCCCTTTGTTGATGCTGCCTGCACTTATTCTCCAGCAAAAGATTAAACTGCTTTCTTTCGGAGTGACTGAACCAGCGCCTTCATAATCCACGACATTGCAATACTCAAAACTCATACGTAATGAGCTGCGGAAAAGGAACTCATGTTCCAAAAAGCTTAATTACACTGGAATACTTAAATAGTCATTGCAGAAGTAGTGCACCATCAAGTCGATACGTAACTCTTCTGATGTTCCACAAGAGATTAGTTGTTTGTCCAGAACAAACATACACTATTTCATAATTAGCTCAGTAGTCACTCTGCAAGTGGCCGGATGGATGGATTGACAGCCAGCTGAATTTTATTGAGTGACAGTTGCTGTAGATGCCACATTCATCCTCACTCTCACATCATCACCCCTATTTTTTTAGAATTTTACTGGCTTCAGACAGAATTTAACGCGTACATTTAAAAAAATAAACCAAACACAAAACACAGTAGCTTACCAGCTGGAGAAACATGGGGACAACTGCTCATTTTTAACAGTTTGAGCGTGTCACTGTTGTTAGCCACTAGCACTTTGAGAGATGGATCATCTACCGGTGTATCATCAATCTTAAGTGACGAGAGGGATTTGGAGTTTACGAACACCACTGTCAGTGCAGAAATAAAGTGAGACTGGAAGGGAAAAAGAAAAAAGTTTAAATGAAACGGTAGTATCTCAAAGAAAAGTCTCAATGGTTTTACACTGTACACAGCACTCCTAGTTTTCTTTTAAACAGCATGTTCTGAAAAAGCATTCTTTTGATATTGCATAATTAAAAATTAATACTAAAATTGACATATTTTTGAGTAGAGGAAGTATAATCACTTTTTGCTATTAGTTTATGTACTCGGTAAATCAGAATCTCTAAACATAAGCCAAGAATCTGACCCAGGACCATCCACTACGCAAACTTAAACCTGTAGGAAGACCACAAGCAAAGAGAAAGCCTAGAAGCCCTAATTTTGAGGATAGTTTGCAAGTCGCCCTCTCAAAGAAGCATCTTCTAGAACAGGAATTCCCACGTGGTGAGTTGTGCTGCACTGGCAAAATGCAAACACAGTCAAGAGCAGCAACCCCGTCCTGCTAAGATGTGTCCGAAGCCAAACGGTACCACTGTCAAGGAGCAGGTGATCAATTAATTACCAACTAAGTAGCACAGATAATGCAGGTCCAAAAATGCTCCTCAGCATTTTTTTGTAACCACTGAAACTTACCAGTAAAAACAGAGCCCAGGACACCTTAACTTGAGAGACACAGGCTAAGGAGCAGATAGAGCAGTGCTTGTAGAAATCATTGGTGGTATGAAAGAAGTGAATAATTAGCTTATCTCCATGATTTCTTACAAGATCAACTGAATAGAAGAGTTAAAAAAAGTACTTCTGCTCTGCACTACATGAAGTATCCCACAAAATCACCTGCTACTGTGATTTCAGTACTGTTTCAACGCTGAGCCACAGGCACACATAGACTCCTGAATACAGTTACATGAGAGAAGGTTTGGCAGCAGTATTTGCTCATTTTTACGTGATGCGTAATTGTGATAATTACACAATTACATTCAGAGCAGGAATTAATATTTCCACATTAACATAAACTGTCTAAGTCAGTTCATGCAAATGGCAACACAAAGTTCAAATCAGAAGCATTTTGGCTTTAGGGACCACTCCCAACTATACTGACAATACACTGTTTATATACATTATTTACTAAAGAAATGGTGCTTTAATAATATTTCCACTGTGTATTCCTAAAGTGTTGGTATTCTGGTTTTATTCTCTGTATTTAGAACGTAATTCCCTCCACTAAGAAGGCTGTTAAACAGAAAGGGAAAGAAAGTTCGCCATGTTTACAAACCTAGGTAATTTGAAACCGTAGTTTGAAGAGCTAACGGAAGACAGGCAATATCTCAAAATGTAAAAGTTGGTGATTTAATGTCTTTTCAATACTGCCACATATGTAGCGTATACTACGATTCTTCAAAAGATTCATGTAGAATGTGCTCGGTGAAATGATGAGGCAACACAATGCTAAATGTGATTTACAAATATTTGCCAGATGTCACATTGTTTGAAATCAGAAGAGCACTGATAAAGATAATGCAAAGTAGTTCAGACTTTCTATACAGTCTGATAATAAAAAAAAAAAACACAACAACAAAATAAACCGTGCAGTGTTAACCATTTTCCAAATACGTTCAGCTTTGCCTGCTTCTCATCCAATGGGCCTGCTACTAATGGCTTCCCACAAGAACTTATCCATGGTCCAATTCAATTCTTTGGCTTCACTAGTGGTCTAAGAAAATTTAAAAACCATTGCTGATGGTTAACATATACTGGTGACAATATTATTGGAGTGGTAAGCATCAAAAGGCAAATTATGCCTAGAGTTGATTTTGGGTGCATTTTGAATATATTTTTTAAAGGCCACACATGAACCTGCTGGGAACAAAAAAAGGAAGCCTGTATTTTAGAGGCCTTGAAGCTGAATAAGACCATAGCATAAACGACTACAAGTAATTATTCAGCAAGCTGAATAGGACCATGACGTATCCCTCCAGTGAAAACTAAGTAAACAGAGCTAAAACAGCATTCAGATTAAGAAATAAAACAACACCCAAGAGCCGAAGGGACAAAGTATTGCTAACACACTAAGACTGTGGCTTGTTCTCATTACATTCAGGTTTTCTTACAGTCACATCTCAAAGCACATCAGAAAAGGAAAAACCCATATGAGAACTAGTTAAAGATCTGGAAAGCCTCTTTGAAAGTTCAGGATTAAAAATACGTATTCGAGAGAACTACATGACGTGGCTGTGATCACTGCCAAGGATAATAATTGATAATCCCTCAGTAGCTAACCTTGCTTAAACCCTATAGCCTACTTCCTTTCCTGGGGCTGTCCCTAGTTCTTCCTTGTCCTTGTTGCCATCATCAGCAATGACGTCACTGAGATCCAGCTAATAGTCTAGTTATGTCTGGCCCTTCACATACGTGTGGACTGGATTCAAGAATCAGAGACATCCAAGATGTCCCTGCCACAGAACAAGCAGCCCAGGTTACCCCAGCTGCTCTCCTGCTCCTCAGCAATAATACATTTCTACCTCACTAGCTGGAATTGTTTAGAAGCACTTAAGAGATTGGTTGTCTTCTAGATTAGATGCCTTCTAACAAAATACAATTTTTTTTGTAAACACACAAGGTAAAAATCTGACAGAAAATTTCAGAAATACAGTGCACTTCGCCTAAGAAGCTGACATCTGACTGTGTGACATGAAATATTGAAAGTCATGATCATATCACTTTCTAAAGAGAGTTCGAAGATAACATAATCCCTACAGCAAGTCCACATGGACAAAACTCTACCCCTCATTCAATTATAACTGTCTCCTAAACATCCCCCACAGTCTCACAGTACAATTAGGGACATGCATCGTCTCACCTCCTGACTTGCATCATGTTGCTCAGTTGAGCAATGACAGCAGTTGAGCATGAGGTCAGTAAGACAGGAGGACATGGAAGAATAAGGCCAGGACTAAAGTTCTCACACGATGCAGAGAATGAGGGAAACTTTGGTTATCCATCTTAGTATAACATCTCAGTCGTTAACAGAGCCCAGTAATCAAGTTTTCTTTACCATTCTTACAATAAAACCTTTTGTAAGGCTACAGAAATACTGTATCAACTACCGTAATATTTTGCTATAGAAAAATATACATATTAAAATACCTTTGGTAAATCCATGAAGCTTGGTCGGGCAGTTGAAATTAGCCCAAGTGTCTTCAGAGAGCAATTCACAAGCTGTGATAAAATATCACAAGCTGCTTCTGCAGATTCCTTGCTGCTGTCCACCTTAAAACAAAACAGATTTATTGTCCAGAAAACACTGCATCAAAACACACTCTTTACAAAAAAGCAGAGCAGAGTGTGTGTACTTGAACCTTTTTTTCACTTTAGGTTCTGAAATGTGATGTCAAAAAGAACCCACAAAACACCTCATTGGGAATACATCAGTGTTATTCTTTTCTCCCCCAAAAGTACATACCAATATCCAAGATAATTTGGTATAAATGTACCACTTTGGTAAAATTTAGCATGGTGAGGGGATCAGCTAAATAGTTTGTTCCAAGATAGTAAATCCACACCAAATAATAAGAAAGTGGAGGTTCATTTAGGTCCAGAGCCTACCCCACTTCTTTACATTCTTCCTTGTCAAAAGGCAGGAATTCTACAAGCCCTTTACTGTTATGAAAAAGCTGCTTCCCTTTATGATGACTCAGCACATACAACTGAGCTGCTGGAGAGTTAAGTGCATTATCGTTTCAACCTACATGACTGGGCTTTCATCACTGATACCACAACAGATATGCAATGGATACTCCGAAAAAAAAAACGTTCATTAGTCAGCTTGTTACACGATCGAATCACTTAATGTGCCTCCAATGGATTTCCTCCGACATGCAGACTGTGCTTTCCAAATAACCTCTCATATGCAGGTGGTATGACAGCTTTACAGACCTACAGAACAGGAAAAACCCTGGTCACAAGATCAATTTTAAGTCTACCACAAGCCACGCTACCTCGTCAGCAACTAATCTAAGTCCAATGAATGCTCATTTTCTGCTCAAACACAAGCTGAAAAACCTCGATTTTCAACAATCCAATCTTTCTCTGCCTACAAAAGAAATTTCCAAGTTTTCAGCCTTGACAGAGTAACAGCCAGTGTTATATCCACTTCCTTGTGATTATCCTTGCTATTCCGTATTTCCAGCGATCTAGTGTTCATTCTGCAACACAGAAGGACAACTGAAGGAGCACATGTGAAAAATGACAGCGGTATCACCCTATCAGTGAAGGGCATCTGAAATCCTTCAAAAATATTTGATGCAAGGCAACGATGACTGGAGACACACTGGAAGGTGATTCTGATACTGCTATAAATTTTCTCTATTCAGACACTGATAAAAACCCTGTAAACCTTGTGATAACCAGTTTACATCTGATACTGGCATCAAGCGGTAGCGATACTCAGGCAGAGGTGCCCCAGCTACGCTCTCGCTGATGATCCCTGTATCAAAACTGCCAGATCTCAGAAACAAACAACTAGTATGTCCACCTTGCTGGAGAAGTAATTTCCTTTTCAAATTTGTCACATAGCTGATGCGTATGCAGCCATGACTGTTTCACAGCACCCTTCCAAAACAGAGGGAAATGTAGGCCAATGTTAAAGGTTTTCATCTGCTGAAAATAATTCCATGATGGTAACATAGCCCATTCTGACCAAATGGTATTTCCCAGCCAAGCACAATCAGTAGATATACCATCCTGTGCAAACCCCATGTACTTTTTCAGTTAACTGAAATGCAGCTGTGCTGAGTAGATGCCACGCGTGGTTAATTCCATATAATTCAGTACTAAAACTGCTAGCTGCTTACTAGCAGTACTAAAGTCACTCTTTGTACGTTGTATGTTTTCTAACCACAAATACTAGATCCAACTCCCTACAGGATGTGAAATGAGGAAATGCCCAACTTATGCATCCTGATCAAACTCAGAGACAGGTGTCCACATGTACAGTAGTATCAGAACTGAAGTATTTTTGCCTGCTCGTTGAGGCAAAAATTCTTAGCAGCTAAGATTCTACAAGAAGAAAGAAAAAACAAACAAATGAAAAATCTAACTCAATTAAGGCAATGAAAAGGTATGTTCAGAATTGTTATTCCAGTTTTGGCCCTGAAAATATATCCAAACAAATAAATGAACTTGGAGATAACCTCCATGTGTATATGTCCATTTAAAGAATTTATTTCTTCAGTATACTACGCCTGAAAACCAGGCTTACCACACTGAGAGCCACCATACTTCTTTCTAGATAAGTGACAATCCTAGTCACAAAACCAAGGCCTTTTCATAAGCCTTTCCTAACATTTAATCAACATTGTTGACTATCACTTATCATCATCAGTATTTTAATTACTGACACTAATTAAATATTTATGCTTTGATATTTATATAGATAAACTATCAAGACTGTCTCAAAAGTATCAGAGATATTCCATTAAAACATTCTAAAGAGAGTGCAGAAAAAAAAAAAAAGAACTAAGCTCAACAAATGCTTTTATTTTTATAAAATTACTTTTGAAAAGCCTATAAAATACACTACCTTGAAGCTCACATACTGCAGGTGATTGGAATGCCTTTTTATTATTTGCTTGATTAGTTCAGGATGCGTAGCCCTCAAGTACGACGTAGCAGGTTGATTCAGTTCGAACTCGAAACACCTCCAGAGATCAGGCATATGAAACACTTGGTTCCAGCTTCGGCAGACCTGTGACGCATGAGCACGATCCAGAAGGGGCAAGTACTGAAACACCTGCAGGATAATATCTTGAAGCAGGTTCGCCCAATCAGGACTCTGCACAACTCTGGTTTTCTCGGCTACAATCTTGTGTCTCTTGGATTCTTTCTCACTTGTCTCTTCAGATGAACTGCTGTTGGCCTCATTAGTTTTCCTTCCTCGTTTCATTCTACAAAAACAAAACAAAAAAAGTTTTCCATATATTTTGTAAGCGTAACAGAGCTGAGAAGAACAATATTAATAACAAACTCTGGAGGTGAAAAAGCATGTTTTCTGTAACCACACTTTTGCAGGGTTTTTTTCTCCCTCATAGGAAGGAAAAAAAAAGTAACAATTAATTTGGAGCAGTAGTCTAAAAATAACATTACCATCTAAAACAATATCTTTAATATTACTCCTTTAATCATTAACATAGCCAATCTACTTATAACAGTCACTCTCCTTTCAGCATTTCATTTCTGCATTTGAGAACACTTTGAATCTAATGTCTTTTACTGTTTTGTTGATTATCACTCTACTTTCCTACGAAAAGAAAGATACTCTAGATACTCTTCTAAACAATTTTGTCAACACTGACATTCACATTGCTGCCCCAGTCCTATTTACCAGAAACAACATTTGAAACTGTGGAAGACAAAAAAGTCAGGCAAGAAAGTAAATAATGAGTATATGCATGTTTACAGGCATCACATCTTGCAGATGTTGTATCTGCCCAATTAATTTTTATTCCCAGACAGGAAGAACCTTTCTTATTTATTTAAAAAAAAAGGTTACTTCAATATGCATCTATTTTAAAACTGTATTCTGAAAAACATATTTCATTGAGAACACAGGTGTGCTTTTGTTTTTCCAACTACCTAGTAAACAGGGATTAAGAAAGATTTCCAGTAACAGTCTGAAAGTTTCAACCCACAAAAAAAGTTTACAGAAGAGTCAGCAATTTCTTAAAAATCATTAAATTCAGCAAGCATGAGCCAAAAGGTTATCTCACTCTCAGCAACATATACTTCTTCCATAGTGGTATCACACAATTTCTACCTTACATTACATTATTAAAGAGGAAAAAAAACCTCACCACTACATAAATCTGAAATAAATCTAGCATTGGGTTTTGATCAAAGTGTGTTTGTTTGTACGTGCAAGCTTACCATTGAACTTAGCATCCATTCATTCATTTTTAAAAGCCTTAATGCAATGCACATCACGTCCTAAAGGACTATGAATGAGACCTCACACTAAACTACAATACACTCAATTCTAGTCTCTAAAAAGCCACAAGAACCTGGGGGTGGGGTGAACTTGTTATGTATAAGCATTCCCAAGCCCTCATGATTTCTGTTAAGATAAACACGGACTTCATATACAGTGAAGTCATTCTAGTTTAAATTCAAGTACAATTACACATATAAGATTACCACATGCCCAGTCCATTTGGGACCTGGACAATTAACAATTTTAGCTTTGTTTAGATACTATGTTAATCTTTTTTTTTTTTTAAAAAAAAAAGTGTAATATGCTAGATATACAAGTGAAAAATTATACTGTTTATCATTCAATGCATCACAGATTATTTTCTCAAAGCCAGCATCTCCTTACCTATCTTTAAAACACTTTAATCCTATCTACTCACATGACAAAAGCAAGCTATCTCTTAAGGTCTGAAGCTATTCATAAAATGATGCAAACAAACCTGAACATCTGTCATGAACAGATGAACACAATTTGCCTCCTGATTTTTTACAATTTCATTTTTAATCCCAGTAGCACTTGGGGGCAAGCCGAAGATGAAAACATTACTGGGCAAAAATCTCTACTTGCTTCCTGAGAACTATTTACTGTGAGTTGCAGCTCATGACTATGAGACGATGCAAAACATGACAGCTGTGCAAAAATGGCCTTCCACACGAGACTGAGTTCTGTCCTGAGCCACTAACTTCACTGGTAGAGAACAAAAGCAAGAAAACTGAGGAGTGACTTAGAACCACCTGCAAAGAACAAAAAGATGAAGGAACTGGATTTTGCAACTGTGGAAACTGAGCAAATAAACTTAAAACTCATCAAGAATTAGATTAGCAAATCCACTGCAAACCTGTCATGTTTGTGTTTGAGATAACTACTAAGCATAGTCCAGTAATATTATTTGTGATAAGCTATTCTGAAATACAGCATTCCTTTAAACTTTAGGATAAAAAGATATTCCAAACAACTAGGTTATAAAGAGCAATCACCACACGCAAGCTCTTCACTTCTCTAATTTGAGACAGCATGTTTGATGTCTCTAAGCCTTTCCAAAGTCATCTTTTGTTCATCTGTAAAAAACTACACAAGGTAATCATTAGACTTGGCTCTCCAAGTGCTCCTTTACAGAGATCCTGCCATCCTGCCTCATCTATTGCTAATAAGCGTGCATAAATTTTCTAGTTAGGTAGGTTACTTTCAGCACTGCATTAGAGGGTCGAGTTCTGGATTTCCTCCCTTATCACATTATAGCAGCTACTGTGCACATACAACACAGCTGATTCACACATTCAGCACATTTACTAAATCTGATCTTTCAGACATGAGCACTAGATCTGGCTCAAAACTGTATGAATTTTTCAGCTGGAAAAATAACCTCTGAGACATGGCCGATAGAAGTGGACCAGGTCATCGACAGCCAACTTTCAAGTTGCACCTCTGAGCTAACTTTGATGCTTTCTAAGTAGTTAATACATGCTGGTTACAGATCAAAACCCACTCTTGAAGTTGTGGGGTACTATCCCAAGTTTTTCTAGACAGCCAATGAAGAAAAGAGACAATATGGCCATCGCTACAGCTACACTGATGATGAATTTCAGGTCACAGTCTTCCCAGAAAATAAGATGCTATGTGTTTTAAGTGCCATGGCTTGAAAAGTAGGGGATGGGAAAAGACATCTCCAGACAATTTTTTTGTTACTGACATCAGATGCTCCTGTAATTGGAGAGTAATCATGAGTTGTCAAAAATACTTCCTTGTGGAACTTCTTCCAGAGAGAAAAAAAGCCTAACCCCAAGATTAAGAAATATTATTTTAAGAATTAGTAACTGTTTTGTCATCTAATTCCTAATAAATTTGTTCATCTAATTTTTGTCAATTTCTTTCAGAATTTAAAGTATTTGAATAGCTTTTTAAAACCACAACTGGTTTCAACCTCTTAACATGCCTAACAATAAAACAAATACAAAACTGAAAGAATGTATAAGTTTGAATAAACTACAGAAGTTCGCATAGTCATCTAAAACTTATTTATATAAAAAAAATAAGGCCACTTAAGAAAGTAAATCTTTCTGCAGATTTAACACAGGAACAGGCAAATGCAATTAGGCAGCTCAGTTCACTTTGGCTTATGCAACTGATAGTCTAAAGATCTAACTATTTTAAATCCATGGCCAACAGAAATTACTTCAACGAGGAAGACACTGAGGCAAAATCCCATGCTAGCATATTACTGTATAGGTACAACCTATTTTTTAAACAATGATGGCTTATCACTTCTCACAATGCTTGCACCATCAGTCTTGCCTTTAACTCACTCTGGCATACTCAGGACACAGTTATCACTGATCAGTTTTTCCAAATAGCAGCTATAATCAACTTGGCTTTAAAATCTAAGATCTTGACAGAAAGAGGGGGAAAAAAAAACCCACAAAACAACAAAAATACCGAACTCTACCAGCACAGAAAGATGAGCGAAATCAGGATGCCTTACTCCTTAAGATTTTCCCAACAAACCTATTATAACAACTTGTTTCCGATCTCGGCGTTCTGAACTCTGCATCTGGGCGCAACCCACGCTATCTTGTTTGCAATACAGTCATGTTGAACCATAATCACATAGTTCGGTCATCAAGCCAGAGGAGGAGGAGCAAAGCACATGCTTAACATTGTTTTTATTGCTGAGTAAGGTGCAGACGGAACACAATGGCAGCTAAAACAAAAAACCTGAACAACTGCACACGGCTGCTTACATCCTGCTAATAACGCCTGCCCATGAACGAGCCGAACTGAGCTCGTCGCGTTGCTTACACCTGAAGTAGGGCTCTTCCAGAAAAAAAAAAAAACGGAGTGCGTGCGCCAACAGGAGGAGCGGACTGAAAGAGGGGGCGACCCAGACACAAGCCTAACCCCCAATCTCCGCGAACAACGAGCTCTGCTGACAATAATGCCAGGCGTGCAATTTATGACTGTTATTAAGAGGCGGCTGCGAGGCGGCGATACTCTGTGAATGCAGAGGGTCGGTTTGAAGCTCCGCTACTCCCAGAGAAGCTTCACCTCCGGGTCGGCTCCTTCCGG